GGGGGCTGGACAACACGGTGCGCTGCTGGGACCTCCGAGAGGGACGGCAGCTGCAGCAGCACGACTTCACCTCACAGGTAACAAACTGATGGAGGTAACCTGACGTCAACAGCGATAAACGTACCTGATCAGGTGTGTTCAGACAAGAGTTCAGATCCGGCCTACACATTCCAGCCTGACCCAGCCTGACCCAGCCTGAGGCCTTAGACACTGTGTCCAAGCCCAGTCCAACCTGACCGATTAGCTCGAATGAAATTATTATTTTAATTACAGTAAGCTTTGTTTTTAAACCATGTGAGATTCAGCAGAGCAGGGTGGGGCCACGGTGCACATTAGTTGTGCTGTGCACTGCGCTCACATTCTGCACCTTTTCTTTTTCTTTCCTCAACAGGATGAMGCACCTACTCCTTTATTTGTTAATAATAATAATAATAATTAACCTTTATGGTCACTTAGTGGGGAAATAAATTCTCTGTTTTTTCCCATCACACATGAGCAATGAGATGCCATTTTGAGATGCCTGAGGAGCAGCTGAGGGCCTGAATGAGGGTTTTCCACACACATTTTTGTTGTTGGTTCGGGGATTTGAACTGGCAACCTTCCAATTTACAGGCTCACCTTCTCCAACCTCTGCGCCACCACTCCCTATTAGACTAAAATAAGTATCGTATTCATGAGAGTGTAATACAATTCTCTTTTTTTAAAAAGCGTTTTAAAAAATCTAATCTTTGTGTAAAATTATACCAATAATTTCAAACACACTTCAGGATTTTTCACTGTGTACCGTCTGGTGGGGAAACAGACACCTGTGGGTGTGTTTGTGGCTGCTGAGGAGGAGCTTGATGTTGTAGAAAATCATCCAGTCCAACATCAGAAGCCAACTCTTAAACTACCAAGATGAGCAGCTTCAGGTGAAGTGTAGTGGTGTTCCAAACCACCGATTTCTTTCTGATTCTGGTACAAGACTAAGGCGATACTGATCTGATACTCATACTTTGTGCAAATATACCTAATATGTTTTGTAAATCTAAATAAAATTGTAAGTTTTAAATCACCGCTTCATTAAGAAGGCAAGACAGATTTATTTATTTATTTATTTATTTATTTATTTATTTATTTATTTATTTATTTATTTATTTATTGTAAACTCAGACGTGTATTGATGTGTCCTCGTTTACAACCGAGCTGATACAACAGAAAAACCAATCAGACAGAAAATGTGAAAAATGTGTTTTAAAACATAAAATAATGACATAAAATAAAATTATGAAATCATTAAAATACATTTTTGTTTGATTATCAAGAATTACTATAAAAATTAAAGCTTGATAACAAGAGTGTTCTGAACATGTAACATCTGAGTGACTGAACGTGTGACGCTGCACTTACGCATTACCCAGGCGGAAGAAAAAGTAGTTCCCACCAACTGGGTATTATTTAGACAAGATTGTAATAGTTTAGTTACTTTGCACTGTGTTCTTGCTAATGATATGCATTACCTGAAATAGCTGAATTATCAAAGTATCGATAATTTCATTTTAGTATTGATTTTAGAGCATTAATATCTGGTGGCATCAATATTTCAGTATCGATGCACACATCACTATTGGAGTTGCTCATCTGGTCCTGATGAACATGTGTATGTGCAACTGACATCCACGTCTTCTTATATCTCTGCCCCGTTGTAAACATAAAAAATAAAAGAAAATCCTTTTTCCTCCAACTCCGGTGTGGAAAAAAAAAATCCCCTGCTGTTGCTGCCTGTATGCCTCTGTGCGCGCATCATACAGCAGGTGGATAGAGGGAGAAATTATAATTAATCCCAGAGACACAATATTTCAGTTCTATACCGAAAACACTGACATGTGGTAGTACATTAGAAAAACCTTCTGTCAAAATTTACTCCCATGTACGTATATGTGACTCCCTAACTTTATGGATGATTTTTGGGGTTAAATTTTCTCATTATTTACACATTAAGTCGATTAAAACTAGTGAGGGGAAGTTCGGCTCTTGTGGATCAGCTGACTCTTAACTTATGATCTGTAGCCTTTAGCTTAACTTAGTATGAAAGCTTTGTGTGTTGATAAACACTTTCACACTTTGTGTTTTAATCAGAAACCTTATAATTTCCTAATTTTGCGTATTTGTTACAAAAGCAGATATTCTTAATTTTATTTAATATTTTAAACAAACTTCAAACTGTATTTAACTTGCTGATTGACACGTCTACCCCCCCCCTCTCTGTTCATATAACACCATAAAGTATAGCACACTGTACTCGAGCACGCTAACCCTGCTCCGTTTCATACACTACTGGACATTTTGCACATAATGTTCTACCGCCATACCCTCCCCCACCCCCTCCCTCTCCCTGAACTGTGAGAATTGAATGTACACATCACTTTTACACTCAWRTGCATYSTTCACTTYACTTTTATCAGCATTAGGCTTCTATTCCACTATAATTGCAACATTCAACTTTTTCTTGTATAAAGATCTTTATTTTTGCAGTACTGAGTACCCCTCCATTTCCTGTTATTTTGTGTTGATGTCACAAATTCATCTGTATCTGTGTCCATATTGTATTACACATTTATTGTCACTTTTTTTGTTTATTTACGTTATTAGATTGTGCAGTTTCTGTTGATTACTTGTTTAATGTTGTAACTGGGAAGAGAGTAACGCAATTTCAACTCTCTGTATGTTTTGACAATTAAACTACTTGAATCTTGAATAATCCTATCAGGGGTGGGCGGTTCCACTATCCTGCATGTTTTATTGGTTCTCTGTTCCAACACACCTGGTTCAGTCACTGAATTACCTCTTCAAGTTCTGCAGAAGCCTGTTCATCACACGCTCATTCGAATCAGGTGTGTTGGAGCAGAGAAACAAGCAACACATGCAGGATAACAGACCTGGAGGACTCAGTTTGTTCACATATGTCCTTTTATCCTCACATGATTGACCACGAGAGCTGGTTCAAGCCTGACCCATCACTAATTTACACAACTTTAGATCCAGCCCGACCATCAAGCATGTCATTTTGGCCTGAATTTCCACACTGAACTCTAGTTCAGACACATGCAGACAGTGTAGTAAATCCATGCAGGATTAAAGCAGGAAAAGGAGCCCTCTCTGTCACAGCAGGGGGATCGAGTTGACCACTGTTGTCAAATGAGTTTCGATCCACCCGTGTAATGACTTCCTCTGTTACTTTTATCTCCCTGCATCTGCTGCCTTCCTTTCTCTCAATCACTCTTTTATTCATCTCCCCTCTGAGTTTACCTCACCCCTGCCTCGTCTCTGTTTTCACTCAGCACCTTGAACTCTTCTCTCCTTCGTCCAGTCGTTCCACTTAACTTGGGGCTTTGAAATAAAAGACTTAACACCTTTCATACACTGTTGTCTTTTTTTTTATCTCCCCTCGTATCCTGGTCCTCACACGACTTTCCGTCCGTCTGCAGATCTTCTCTCTGGGCTACTGTCCGACAGGCGAGTGGCTCGCCGTGGGGATGGAGAGCAGCAACGTGGAGGTCCTGCACGTCTCCAAACCAGACAAGTACCAGCTGCACCTCCACGAGAGCTGCGTCCTGTCGCTCAAGTTCGCCTACTGCGGTACGAAGCGCACGCCCGTCTTTTATGGGAACTCTCGCAGCCGCGTCTCCGGGCGCTCTAACGCGTGTCGTGTTTCATCTGCAGGAAAGTGGTTCGTGAGCACGGGAAAGGACAATCTGTTGAATGCATGGAGGACGCCATATGGAGCGAGTATCTTCCAGGTGAGCAGCTTCTCTCTCTCTGCTCCGTGCAGGATTTAGACGGGCTCGTGGGCTCATTTAGATGCATGTTTGGACTTCAAAGCCAACAGAGTCTCAGTGAAAACAGCTCAGCTTCCTGTCCTTAATTCCTAATATGCCAGACACACACACACACACACACACACACACACACACACACACACACAC